AGACTTCACATAATACATAGTATATACGTTTTGGATGTCTTCTGTAAATGCATGAATATGCATCAGACATGCTGTGTATATTGGTATACTGACAACTGGATATACCGTGAATATTCCTGTAATATGCAAAGATGTTCAATAGGATATTCTATGTATGTTGTATACATTCAGAATGGATGTTCCATAGAGATTCCTCTAACATTCGAGAAGTTTACTATCGTCTATACCTACATAAATAAATTCTTTTCACTGAGTGTAGCTTTTTGTTTATTAAGTCTCCTAGTATTCAATGGAAAATGTGCTTAAGAAATTATTATTGTTTTATTTAACACGGTAGTCTTGAGTGATCTTGATCCTGTTCTTATTCAACGCTATAATAGCGCGAGTTCATAACAAACAGGTTGCTAACATACCTGCCATTCTTTTCCTTATATTAATTCCCATCCAGTCTTTACATATCACTAACACATATTTGCAACGTTAGGTCATGCACACACGAAATAAAAATGATTACTTTCACTGTCCAAATTAGACAAACAAACTCATTAATAACTCGCGGAATAACACTCCTGATTTTAGAAAAATGAAGTGTATTTGCAATAGCACCTTACTATATCTTCATCGCCGTAATTCACAGAAAATGAGACGCTAACGTTTGTAATGTCGGTAATACAGAAAACGCATGTATCTAATCCAAAACGTATATACATACCATATAATACCATGTATATACATAGAAGATCCTCGTGAGGAGGTATAAGATTGATACATAAAATATACATACAATGTGTGTGCCTAAACATCCATATCACATCCAAAATGTATATTTATAGAATATCCATACTGGACATAAAATACTGTAATGTTCCTAGGGGTCTATCAAGCCGACACTGAAAACGTTGATTTACCCTATACTTACCGTTGGCAACTCTACAATGCCGAACCACCTACCTTTCAAGTCGAAACGATGGTAGTTTCGCGGTACGTTTGAATTGGAATGGCAGTCGGCTCAACATGGATGGCACGAATGAACTCCTACGTTGTGTAATCGGTTCTTTATGTGTTGGGACGTGAGACATCATCGGGAAGGGAATTAAATAAAAGACAGAACTTTTGTGCGTAGGAAATGACAAGATCGAATTACATTATTAGCCAGGTAAGTGAGTTTTTACTGGCGATAGGAGAAGTTGACTGGCGAGCCGTCAGGCGAGCCTGTCATCTCCTAGAGCCAGTAAAAACTATTACCTGGCGTATAATGTACAATATTTTATTTGTTACTCATTTGTAAACAATAGTTAACGTAAATAATTAGTTCTTAACTTGATCTCGAAGAAATGTCTAAAATATCATGTTATCCATGTAACAGAGACTTCGCATTAATTCTGGCCAATGAAATTACTAGATTACTAACTTATAAAATTTTTACAGGTCAGCTGCCAGTTTTACAAGTCAGTAGCGTTTAAACATGACGTTTACCCGTTTGCGTTTTGTCTTGTTAATCAACGTTTACAACTGAGTAACAAATAAATTAATATAATGCTGAATCACAGGCCCGGCTGGAATTCCTAAAGAATCAATATTTCATACACATAACAAAAACAATCAATAAAACATTACAATAAATTCATATAATAGGTTTGGATATTGGAAGGCCAGTCCAAATCCCACACCGAGTAGTCTTTAGTTGCTCTGGTCATGACATGTCAACATTGTATGAAATCGCTAGGAGTTGGCCTCTCAGAAGAGTCTTTCACAAAGGAAGGATAATTGATAACACAAACAAAAGGTTACAACGAGAACACGCTTTTAGCGAATCCCTGCACAAGTGAGGCCGGGCTTAGCCGGCAGCCTCATGTACGACTAGCGGGACCCCAATTCTTTCATTCACACATCTTTAGGGCCAGTCCAACCCACTAGTTATAAGTTCCGGGATATAAATTACCGAACTCCAGGCTCTCTACCATGAGTACTGACCGTAACCGACCAAAAGACAAATCATGACATAACAAAAATAACAGAGCAACCATCGGCAAACTCGCACACATACTTAATTATAAACAATAGTATATTAAGTATGGAGAACGGTAAGGGATTTTTACCGTTCGAAGACAATTGTTTGGAGGAGGAGCGAAGCGACGACTCCAATTATTGTCTGAGAACGGTAACCCTTAACGTTCGACGTGCTTATAACATTTTTTGCGCGATCGAAATTAAATTTATGCAACCAATATAAATATGCAGAATAAATCGAAATGATCGAAGTGGTATGGTGTATATCACTAGGTAACCAGTTTATTTGTCAAAATTGAAGTTAATAATTTCATAAAAATGTGCATGTGTCTGATGTAGTTTACTATTTTGAACTTCCTTTATGACTTTATGAGCGTCTTGCTATAGGAAACAACAGCACAAATTGTACGTTTAATGTACCTAACAATAATTAAAGATTAAATGTAATGTAAGACTGTTGATTTTTAAAAAGGCGTCGGTAAGTATTTGCTGTTCTGTTTTTAGATCGGTAAGTAATTTTGACGTCGTCGTAATCATAGCAACTGGTAAATTCTACCTACTGTCATGGAAACACCCATGGTAAATAGTCAGAAATGACCGATCGCGCAAAAAATATATAAAATTTATGTAGGCGTTGACAGCTGACACCTTTGCACTGGCATAATCGAAGCGGACACAAAACCAATATTCGCTCACTACATGTCAGGGATCGACTAAACGAATGGATTAGCAATATCGGCAAGATGACTCTTTTCAAAGACACAAAAAAAAACAGTACAGAAAATATATATCTCTGCGTATGTCAGTTCTGAACTTTAGCCAGCCTCTGCTACGTCAAATCGAGATATTAAATATCGGTATCAAATATATCAATATCAAATATAGCACAGTACATATTCGAAACAAGTCACCCCGCCAAATATTAATAATCATATTCACTGATCGGTTCAAATAAATAGTAGGAGCTAACGTTAAATATCACATTATAATAAAGCAAAGGAGCATGTCGTGGCAAAACATTAGTATCAAGTAATTAATTCTCAATGCCAAGTGCAATATGTAACAATCAACCGCCTAACGTACGTCACTCGCCCCCAGATGAGGTAGCCTGTAAATAAACAGTAACATATTCAGGCAAACAAAAGCGAAATGTGCTGCAATAAATTCAATTATAAATTAAAATGTAGTTCTGCGTACTTGTATTGGATATCGCCCCTAAGGGAACATACTGTATCTAAATATAAATAAAAACACGCAAATCTGTCAGTAATTCATGTAGCCAGCGCTTGGAACAAAGGAGTACTGTAAATTGGAAAACAACATATTTATGTAGAATCTTTATGCATTTAATAATTCATAAGTACCTATGACCAGTATAATCAAAAGTGCAAGTTGTCATAAATTGCAATAATCATACTGTACGAGAATAACATTAAATTGGCAGATAATCGAACACGATCATATTATTAGATGGATGCAAAAGGCGTAGAGATAAAAAAAAAACGAGTACATCACCTTTGTTATTGTCGAAGCTGCACTCACTATTCGGAACGTAAAAATTTACTTCTGCTCTCAACAAAAGCATAAATACTTCTCCTTAAATTTCCCCTTTGTAAGCAAATCCTAGACGAATAATAACGACCGTGTTCCGAGATGTCGGGTCGATACGGATCATTAAGTTCCCTCGCATAGCGTTATATTTGACATTTTTATTGTAAATTATGGCCTATTTCAATGTAGAGCAGAGGAGGAAAAAAAACACGTGTTCCACGGAAACGAAACAAAGCGCAATCTTGACTTTTTTCGTCGCGCCAGGATCGATTTCGGGAATATTTAAATCGAATTTTAGCGGTCTAATTCGGTTCCATCACAATACATAAGATGGACAGGATATTCCTTCTACATTATGGATTTAAAATGTATATACATAAGATATCGGGTATGGTATGTGGGAGTGTATAGCTCAAAATCCATTCCAACGATTATAGCGGCAATGGTTGCTATCTTAATCTCCGCTTATGCTAATCTCTGCTTAAATTTGTCGGTGCAAATGGCCATAAACATATTTGCATACTAGAAATACCTGGCGCTCCCACCTGTGTAACATCTTACATCAACGATCAGCATATTAGTCTGGCGAAATGTAGAAATGCTACATAATATCACAGATAAAATACCAACTGTGATAATAATATATAAAATTTTAAAAATGTCGACCGGGAATCGAACCCGGGCCGTCCGCGTGGCAGCTACATCGTTAAGCTGCGTATGCATTATTCGAACCGAACATGTAAAATGTCACAAATAAATTCCTCCACCAAAAGTCGTTTTTTGTGACGAACACAAAGGGAATTCGTTCGCACAGTTGGGACCTCGGTTGGGACGTCTTTTACTACTTCTCCGTGTTTGTAACGCGCCCGAATCGATTGGAGCACAAAACGAATACGCAATTATGTGTTCATTCTGTCAAAAGTTTACGAGCCATGAACGAGCATTTTACATGTTCGGTTCGGATAACGTATACGCATCTTTAGACGAACGAAGACGACGACGACAATGCTACATAGATATAATATGCATCAGCATATCCACATGAACGCCAAAACACCGCCGTCACCGATCGCCCATACTTCAATGCACCCCATCTCCAAGCCGGTTGCTTTCTCACCCCCTCACTTCCTCTGGACTCGCTGTTGCTCATGCCATTCTGTTTTCCCATGTAACAAAATAGGTCTGCTTGCACAATTAAGAGTAACAAAAATGTTGGTTAGGTCTATGATCAAACAATGTGGGTTATCTTATGATGGTGGTTGCCTTCGGTCAGGGTATTGCTAGACATAATGTGCATTGTAGGAAATCCATAAACTGGATGATCTCGGATAATGGTCAAGGAATAATAACACAGATTTACGAAAAAGAAAAATTTATTTTTCCCTCTTGGGCATTAAAATGAAATTGTGATGTAATGGTTTTCTTCTTATCTTGCTTCAAGAAATGAACTCCTTGTCGAGTATGCATATCCCACTGAATCCATTGACCAACTTCTGGAGAAATAATTGGACCGGTAGTAATTACATTTTTAGATGTTCCATCCAAATCCCAGTCCGTCCATAACGCTACGCCGTTATAGTTTGAATCTCTAAAATGTATTAGTCTCAGTATCATATGACTCCACTTGTAAATAACCTACCCTTCAACTTGAAACTTGACTGAACTGTCATAAGTTTTTGCATCAGTTAAAGTTTCCAAGTTCAAATTTACAAATTCTTTAACTGCGCTTTGTGCAATACATGGATACTCCCACAGGGGTTGGGCTTCAACTTTATCATCACATTTAGAGCTGGAACTCTAAAAAAATTTAACTAATATTGAAAGTTAAATGCGCAAGGAACTACCAGAATTAACTCGTCAAATGGCTTCATATTAAATTCTTCCACCAGCCCTAGTGGAAGACGGATCTTTTGTAAATCATGAAATTGAACAATGAGTCCTTTAATCGAGACCGATTTTGGTGCAATAACGCAATTGTCTGATAAGGAACCCCGTAACTTCTGTAGCATGTAACTAAAAAATAAACCGTCCCACGGTAAAATTGAGGTGAAAAAATGAGGTTGTCCCATTACAAAGTTCACATTTTTCGGTTTAAGCGAATCACAATTTTGCAATATTTCACAGTTAGTTATATTGTTTGCCTTTATACACTTTTCCAGTAAACTTGTCGAAAAATAATTGTCTTTTAAGTAGAACACCTTTTTCGCACCAAGTTTAGCAGCTGCCAGTCCTAAATAAAATCCGTCACTCACAAACAAAACGACACTGTCTGCATTTACAAATTTTTCTAGAACCGAGAGATATTTTTTATTTCTTATATTATCGTTCATCATTCCAATTTTGGTGCGAGAGTGGGAAGTATGCAATCCACATTCGCAATGCGGCATGGCGAAATTGTTTTGAGTTTCTGCATGCGATTCCAAATAAAACCACCACGAAAACTGATCACGGCAAGCAACCAATGAAAGATCTTGATCTCTTCTTACAGACTTGCACTTCGGTAAGTAGTATAACGCTTGCATCCAATGATCCCGCCAGGGTATTGATAAATTTGTCAAATTAGTGTTCGACTTTCGTAACGGATGCGCCCAGTATGGCGCACAACTGAGTATAACTTCACCTTTGGTATCCATAATAAGCTCCCACCACATGAACACAACTTGTGCAATTCCGTCTGAAATGGCCTTTACTGGAATTACATGTGTATCTCCAAGATACGTGTATGAGCTTGTCTGATCCCAATCGAAACGTGCCACCAGATGTGGTGCAACAAGTGTCTTAAAGGAGGATGGTGGTAATTGACTCAGCTGTATATCATGCACCGCAGAAGAACCTGGACAATTTTTTATATCGAGAGGAGCCTGCACTAAAAGCTCCCCATCATTACTGTAAAGATCCTTGAAACCATTCCAATTCTGCGCCCACTGAGTTTCAACAACTTGCGCGTACACCAGTGCACTACTAGGTACGACGATGCAATCATCTTCTAGCAACTTCAGTCTGGCATGATTAAAAGTAATAATTGCACCTTCACCTATCAGTTCAGTGTCAAACACCTCCGACACCAGGATATTTGCCTTTTCCACCAAATCTCCACCCTCGCCTACAGTCAAATCCACACTTTGCTTGTTTATAATTCTAATTCTATCGCCGAAACCGTTGAGAGCAACAACTTTCTTCGCACAATCAGCAATTGGACTAAACGATTCGCACGCAATGACAGAGTCCGCTCCGCATTTAACTGCCATCATCGACAAAAGTCCTGTACCCGTACCGATGTCCAAGACTTTGGCCGGTCGTCCCAAGGAGTGCATTTTATTGATAGCCAACTTGATGGCCTCGTAATACTTTTGATTACGCTCGGTGTCGTGTAGCATGTCCGCGAAGGAAGAGCGTGCAATCTCTTGGTGGAAATCGTAATGCTCATCTTGACTTTCCCATCCGCTCTCCCCTAGTATCGGATTTAATTTTTGGGTAAATACGGACATGATTCTGCAATTTAAGACATTCAATTTGCAATGTTTAAAGCAATACTTAAAAAGCATTCAAATACTTTTAAAACACGCAGTTTTGTGAGGTTATATCACTGACTCATTTAAACTTGGCGGTGGCTACACGTACGTCAATATCACAATCTAGGTGTATCTAAACTATGGTTGTTGCATACATAAAATATAACGTATTTTTTTTCCTTTATTTTAAAATTTCCTGATACGGTCATTATTCATAATTTTGATTTCCCTGCCGTTTTGTGTCCGTCCTTGTATGTACTTTACTTAGTGCGCACGAAAAATATTAGTGGAAGGAGGGAATGTGGAAGAAAACAATTTCGAATTTTACTGCTTGCGAATAAACAGATATAACCATGTCGTGGCCAAAATTTCAACGTTAAAACCCTAAACTACACAATAGAATCGTAAGTACTCCTTATTTTCTTTTTCCTTCCGTAATTATTAGATACATTATTATAATTCCTCATTCCTCTACAACCAAAAAACCAAAAAGATCAATTTGCCGCCACTGAATTTAGCTATTTTAATTTTTCTTTGAATTTTAGTTATATTTATTTCTTTCTAATAACAAAAGAATTTAGGAAGATCAGTCAATTAATGCGCTTAAAAATCGCTTTAATCAATGGTACATAAGTAGCTATGTGCTGGTCACATGTTTCAAACCTGTTGGGTAATTGCAAAGCTGAGTACAAATGTTGTATGTCATTTTTCTCAAATCGGAATAGGAGACTAAAATTATCTAAGGGAATGGAATCAAAATTAAACTTATTTATAAAATAAAGTATTTTCCTTTTTGCAATTGCTCTTTCTAAAGTCTCATTATAGAATAGCACTCGCAATATCATCATCTTCTAACAAAAGTATTCCATTTTCAGACAGCTTCGCCATTCTCACAACATAGAAAGTGTAAGGTTAGGAAATCTTTAAAATCATAAACAACAATAAACTTATCCGCAAGCGCGTTTCACTAAATTGCCCTTACGTTATATCATTAGAAAAAATGGCCGTCTAACGTAACGGAAAATACGTGTCCCCAAACTAGCTATTACTATTGCGATATGTAATTAACCCCACTAAATGCAGAGTTAACTTTTGTTTACCTCACGTCATCGATTAAATATAAACAATTCTATTAAATAAACTGCATCGCGTTATTGTTGACGTGCAGAATAAGAATTAACAAAATACGATACCGCAACGGTTAAGCGATTCTAGGTCGAATCGCCTACGTCAAAGAATGTTAATTAAGGTGAATTTCGCTTGCACCCAGTTTTGTTTACACCTACCTGATGCAGTTTTAAAATGTTTATCGAATCGGATGAATTTGTATCGGGCTCAGGCATTAAGCATCCGATTCGATAAAATTTTTAGAACTGCAGTTTAACTGCATCAGGTAGGCGTAAACAACATTACTGTAAACAAAACTGGATGCAAGCGAAATTCACCTTAATTAACATTCTTTGACGTAGGCGATTCGACCTAGAATCGCTTAACCGTTGCGGTACCGTATTTTGTTCATTCTTATTCTGCACGTCAACAATAACGCGATGCAGTTTGTTTAATAGAATTGTTTTATGTTTAATCGACGACGTGAGGTAAACAAAAGTTAACTCTGCATTTAGTGGGTTAATTACATATCGGAATAGTAATAGGATCGACTATAGGGGTTGAATCCAACTAAAATATGAAATGTGATTATTGGCATTAAGTTAATTTCAACAACGGAATTAATCATGCAGAATTTGCAGAAAAATTACTACGGCTTATTTAAATTAATGAGACATTATAAAATGATAAGGTGCAGGTGATTTTCTTTGTGTAGAATTTCCTTATCTCTAGAAATTGTTTAACATACCTAGGAGTTGTTTTCTGTATAAAATTGGACATCTGTGTTAAAATTAAATGGGTTTTGGAGCAGATGTAAGGAAGCACCTTTCCACCAGTTTGGTGACTACTCTGTATCTAAAGGTGCTTCCTTACGAAATGAAATGTGTCGTGGTGAAAATATTTGTGTTGGTTGAAGGAATTTAAGATTTTCTATAGTTGCGTTTCAGCCGCCGCTATCGTAAACAAAAGCTAAGACATTTCAACTGTCCTTATTGCGTCCGAAAGCTCTTGTCATTTAGAAGGCGAGGTGAATTAATATTATTACATGAGGTCGGCAAATATGTGGTCGATGGGCAGCTTTTTTACATTCCTAAGAAGTCTCCTAAAATACATACTGATAGGTAGTCCACTGCATTTTATAAACAGCAATGTATATTGTCAATATCTTACAAAACAAACTGTGCTCCATAAAAAGCATACAATATAGATCACTTACGATTACTCAACAAAAATTCCTATTAAAAATCACAGAACAAAAATAAGTTCCTATCAATAGAAGTGACAAAAGGTAGATATCTACACATTACAGCTATACATGTAGATAACGATTATACGTATGTAAATTGTTACAAAAATACGTAATGGAAGAACTTAAACAGACATCTTTTCGGTTTATTGTTTAAAATGTAAAAATATATAGACTTTTGATTGTATATATAAAATGTTAAACTCTTAAAGAAATATTCTGGAACAAACTTAATACCTAAGAACTAGTAGAAGAACTGTACTGGAAATTATTTTTTTCCGTATGTGTCTTTGTTTTGGTAACCGGAGACGTAACCAGAGGAATCGGGTAAATCTTTTCGCCCGGCGATTCCCTTACCTTTGCCACTTTCGTCGAAGCGCTGCTTGTGAGAACCGGTATACTTCGAAGTGTCAGTGAGACGATCTACAGTCGCGGCTGCTTTGCTCGGCTGAAAGTGGTCTACTTATTTATTTATCTATTTTCTAATAATCACTTACGGTTACTCCCGTAACTCCAGGCGTTCCACAACTGGCCAGCTTCGCCTTAATGTCCTCAACCTCAACCTTCTTATTCTTAGCGAGATCTTCCAAAAATTTGTTGTAATCGTCCAACGTAACTTTCAAGGATTTTAGTTTTTTGAAGTATATACCCGTGTCGGTCGTGGTGATTTTTTTACCGTCAATCACCTTCGCCTGCTTCATCCATTTGTCGCTTTGAGATAGCGTGATGTGCTTACCGTCCGATTTTGTGTCGCCGAATTTCGAAAATGCCTTGAAGGCCGACGTGTAGTCCATAGGTGACGCACCCGTTGGTGTTTTAGGAGTCGATGGAGTGGGAGAAGCTGGACCTTGATCTCCTTCGCCGTTCTCCAATTTTAACTTTTCCAATTCCGGTGTTGGAATAGACCCATTAGTTTCGACTGACATGATTCTGAAAAGAAATGACGTTTTAATCTGTTGTTAAATTATGAAACGAGTAGTCGTGTTGTATGGGTGTGAAAATACTGAAAATAGTAACTGCTAAATTAGGGTGCCATCCCATTACATTGTGATCAATAGTGGTAAACATGCGAACTTCTCATTTTAATGCCATTAAATTTGTGTAGGTCTCATTTACTTAGAGATAGCTAGGTGTAGGCATATAAATCTCAGTCACATTAAAATAGATAATGTTCAGTGCAATGCTGTATAGCCGCCTATTACACAATGTTATCCATGACAAATGTTCATTTCTTCATTATTTTTATTGTCTGAATGTGTTATCTACACCAATCTCCTTTAATCTGACTGCTCTATTTCCGACAATGTAGGTTCGATATGCGTTGAACATAAAATGTCGATAATTAATATGCTGCACCACCTAAGTGCGAAAGTTACCTACTGGCCGGAAATCTGCATTAAAACAATTCGGGCAATTGAACTAATTAGCATTCTGCATAAATAAAAATGCGTGCAGTGTATAAGCATCCTGTTACCCGCAACAAAAATATCGTTGTATATTTTTAGCTTCACTTTCATTAATATTTCTATTTTTAAATAGAGTATCATCATAGAGATAGATAAATAACCGACCAGGGAAGTTGTATCAACTTTTGGTTGAATGTATCTTGTTTTTACGTGATTGCAATGGAATACCTACAAATAACTTTATGAATAATCCATAGAATTATTTGGATAGACACCCACTACCTCGGATACTACAGAAGAAATGAAAGCTTTCATTTCTACATTTCTTGATCCCTTTGGTATTTTGTAAGAGTTCATAGTACTTAACTACGAAATTATTTTCTAAATCTGTTTAGTGTTTTGAAACAAATTTATTCGGTTTGGTAACACACAAGTTCCGTTTCTTGCTAACTTACTTTGTCAATAGGGATTCTTGTAGAAATTTTATTAAAAAAATTAAGCAAATTAGCTTCACTTATGCTGATGAGATACCTACCTACAATCATTGAATAAAAATAGTGTTTTTATTCAATGCTACAATGCAGTTGTGCAAAAGTTTTGCGAGTGCCCGGATTTTGAAGGAGTTTTCTTAAAAAACATACATGTGTAGAAAAATGCCTCCATTTCTAATTCGTGTATTGAGATCATAATATCGGTTATTGATTGGAAATGTTTAGGCAACTGTGGAACTGGATATGTGTAGCAATGTTTTTGAAATGGAATTTCTTCGGAAATGTTGGAAATGACAATAAATTACGGTGAAATCTGGAATCCGCAATCCCAATTTTTAACGTCATTTCAACGGCACTGGTTAAACGTACCGCTGGATTCACGATTCCCTAAAATTACAAAACCACCAACCAGTGGTACTACCCACTTAGTATTTCATTTGCTTTGAAATTTACAATGTGTAGTTCTTATGGCAATCATTCTTTCGCCATTTTGGTGACCTATGCGAGCCAATAAACGAAAAATGTTAAATAATTTCAAGCTGAGATCTCGAGGCTTCGGACGTACGGACGGATTGACACTTATTTGTGCATATTCTGTTCTAATATCATCTTTAACACAATTTCCCTCAATAAAATAAAAACTAAACTACCTACGACATGGACTTACAGAGACGTACGGGCGAAAAGAAGTATTTTCTGGGTGACCTTTTTTTTTTTATTTAAAGGGATAATGCCTGAACTACAAGGTCTTGTGGCATTTTTGCTTATACAGCAGATAAGATTTACATTTACATGGCATCGATTAGTTGAATGTCTTTTAGAAAACTTATTACGTTCTTTGGCTTTGAGAAAGCGGTTTCTAAGTGGTTGCGCTGCTTCGTGGTCCTAGGACAGTCACAGAGGATGTGTCTCACAGTTAGTTTGATATTGCATTGTTGGCAAGTTGGTTCTTCTTCCTTTTTAAGCAGGTAGTCGTGGGTAAGTCTTGTATGTCCTGTTTTCAGTCTTGTTAATATTGTCTCTTCTCTTCTAGTGATATTGCTTTGGGATTCTGGGGGTGTGTGTTTCGGTTTGTAGTAATTTTTTGTGTTCGCTGTATCTTCCCATTCCAAGTTCCATGCTTTGGTGATACGGTTTTTAATTATATGTTTGGCGTCGGTCCTTGTGGTGTATGTCGTGCTTGGATCTTTCCTGTATGTGGCCTCTTTTGCTTGTTGGTCTGCTCTGTCGTTGCCTTCGATGTTGATATGTGATGGAATCCATAGAAAGTCGGTTTCTTTGCTTTGTGATTTGAGTGTTTTCCAGGTGGTGTGTATTTCATATATTATATATATTATATATATTCATGTTGTGGGTACATGTTGTTTAATCCCTGTAATGCGCTGAGCGAGTCCGTTACTATTAAAAATTTATCGTACACGTTTCTCGATATATATCCGAGTGCTTCCTTGATGGAATATAGTTCGGCACTGTACACACTTGGCGCATCTGGTAATTTGTATTGGTAGGAATTGTCTTCGTGTATAAACGCGCATCCAACAAGATTTTTAATTTTTGAACCATCCGTATATATTATTTGTCTGTCATTATGTCTATTAAGGATTTCTAAGAAGAGGTTTTTATAGATTGCTGGATTTGTAGAATTTTTTGGGTGGTTGGTTAGTTCAACGTTCGGCTTTATAAGAGGAGTTGCCCAGGGTTGCTTGATTTGGGGAGTATTCGGTAGTTTAACTTGTATTTCAAGGGATCTTAATAGCTTTTGGCCTCTTACTACTAATATTCTTTTTGACCTAGCGAACAGATTTTGAAATTCCGGTTGTAAAGTGACTTTTTGGTTCGGATGGTTTGGTCTACCCATGACTTGTACCGTGTAGCAGAGTAGTTGTTTAGAGAGCCTTGCTTTTAGGGGTAGTTCACTCGTTATTGCATAGAGGCTATCTACTGGTGTTGTGCGATGTGCTCCTGTAGCTAAGCGGAGTCCATGATGATAAATAGCATATAAGGATTTCAGAATGCTGCTGTTGGTTCCTCCGTAGATGCATAGGCAATATTCTATTTTCGACCTAATTAAAGCGTTTAATATTTTTATTATTGTATTTGTATTTGTTCCCCAATTTTGATTTGATATAACTTTGATTATGTTTAACGCTTTCCTGGTGTCTTCTATGGTTTTTTTAATATGAGGGATCCAAGTCATCTTGTTGTCAAGTACAACTCCCAAATATATGATTTGATTTGTGTGTTGGAGTACGATGTTATTGAGTTTAAGTGAGGGATTTCCAATGTTGCGTCTTCTAGAGAAAGTTATGCAGTGAGTTTTATTGGTCGAGAATTGTAATCCAGTACGGTCAGACCATTTTTCTAAGCGGTTAATAGCTTTTTGTAGGTACCTTTGAGTGTCTTCAAGATTTCTGTTAGACTGTTAGAGGTGTAGATTATGAGGTCGTCCGCGAAGAGAGATGCTTGTACATTGTTCGGGATTTTGCCAAGGGTGACCTTTTGATTCCCCATCAAAATTTGTTCATAATTCAGGTAGTTAGGATGAAGCAATCGCCAAGATTTTTCTTGGCTCAACCTAATCCAAAAGGAAGGTAATAAATATCTTGAAAAGGAAAATAGCGCATCCAACTTAGTTAGAAAACGCATTACAAATGTTTTAGAAATTAAAAAATTATGAAGATTACAATATCATAAGTTAGAAGTACCTATATACTGCAATAGCACAAAAAATATCGATGTGCTTAATTACCAAACATACTAATAATTAATATCTTGAACTCGACTTTGGCATCAACATTTCCAAACATATATTTATGAGTAATACATTTTTCAAAACGCCCTGTATCCTAATTTATGTTTATATCCATCTCACGATTGTTTTCAAAGTTCATTTGGTTCAGTACCCCCGTAGGTACAATAAACTTTCTGTGAAATGGACATTTCAGACTATTATTCTGAACTTTCCCACAGTATGGTACTTTAGCACCAGTGAGGAGTTTGTTGGAATGTAATTTAGAAAAAATTATAGAATAATCTGTATCTCTTTGCATTTTCTTGTAGTCCGGTACTGAGAGTCTCATGCTGTAAAGAAAACAAAAAAATTCCGATTACTTCCGAAGATATGCCAAAAAACCGAAATTTGGTGTTTATTTTTTCCTGATATAATTTGAGCACATACAGAAAAATAAAAAATCATTTTCTCGTTGCTACTTTTGGAGCTCGCTAGTCTACAAGATACTGATTTGAGACAGAGATTTTCAATACGACCTATATGACCTATAAAAAAAAGTACAGACTGTAATCAATAGCATCTTTTATTACAAATACAACGATATATGGCACACACAAAAACAAGAGTAGGAAACTGTTGGTTTCAACAGGATGATGCACCCGCACCCGCGTACATACAACGCCCTATCGTGCGAGAATGTCTATCGGGCAAATTTCCTGGAAAATAGACAAGTTTGTCCGATAGGTATTCTCGCACGATCAGGGCGTTGTGCGCGAGTGCACCATCCTGTTGAAGCCAACAGTTTTCAACTCTTGTTTATTAAAATGCGCCGTACGCTGTTGCTACTCAGTAAGCACTTTTTTACGGGCCATATAAAATCATAATGATTTCTCAAAAACGAAACGTTGTATTGAAAATCTCTCAACGCTATCGTGTAGAGCTCGAAAAATGACAATGAAAAAGTGTCTCTCGAATATGGATGTGAAGTTATTGATGGAAATCGTTTCTTGCCGTTTGTTGATCGAGTTCGTTGGTTGATCGTTACCGAATTATACAAATTTAAAATTCGAGGGTCAAGTTGAATTGTTGAAGTTTAGAAATATTTTTGTTGAAATCGTTGGACCGTCTTATAGTGGTGTTTGTTGTACAGGGTCGCTGATAAATATGAAATGGTCGATTATCGGATAAAATATGCAAGTTATAAAAAAAAGTTATACCTATATTAGTTTTAGGGTTTAACGTTTGGTCAACGCATGCGCAATCCATTTTTTCAAAAAAGTGCGCATAATAAATACAAGTGGC